CTGCTGAGCTCTGCTCCTTTCTGGGCCACCTGCTGTCCTCCGGTGGGCGAGGTCACACCCGAGCCAGGAAATCGGCCAGCTCTGCCTTCCGAACAAACCTGCGGCTTCGTCCTTACTAGGGGAAGAGAAAGGGTTCAGTGGTGACCACCTGAGCCCCGCGATCCAATGTAATCACAAATGCTGGACGAGAAATCAGGGGCTCCGGAGGAGATATCCTCAGAACACCTCACCATCCTTGCTGTGTTCCTGCCGAGGTGTTACTCCAACCACAGGGCGCCATGGAGAGCTGCAGCGAGGACACAGGGCCCTCTGGCTTGGCCTGTCCAAATGCCAGGGCCCGCCAGTGTCACGCAAATCCAGGAAGGAACAGACACTGTGATACCGCAGGGGCAGCAAACGGCTTCTGTAAAGCGCTACTGAGCAAGTATCTCACATTCGTGGGCCATACAAATCCTACCCTGTGGCCACAGACAATATGTGAGTGTGGCTGTGTCCAAATAAAACTTTATTTACAAAGCCGGTATTTACAAAGCTGGGCAGTGGGGCCATATTGCCTTAGTTCAGTGGCAGATTAAAGGGTATTGGGGTCCACCCTCGTGGCTGAGGGGTTAAGTCTCAGCACTATCACCTGTAAAGCAAGGGAGCTCTCCCCCTATGGTACAGCAGAACTTTTATCTCTTAACAGTCTCATCCCACTGCTCTCCTCAACAGTGTATTTCAATAGATGTGCCTGTTTCTGCCCCCCACTATGCATAAATAAGTAAATCTTTAAATGAAAAAAAAAAAAAACCTGAAGAAAAAAGGGTACTAAATAAGAAATTATGATTCTAGGTTAAAAACAATGATGAGGGCCCTCCCTGGGGCGCAGAGGTTAAAGCGCAGCACTGCACACTGGCCACAGCTTGCAAGTTCGATCCCCACCCCGAAGGTGACCCACAGGGCGCAGCAGACCTCTCCTGACCCGCCCACTGCTCCCCACAGCAGTGTACTTTGTCCATCTGCCTGTTCTGCTCCCCACTCTTGTCTCTGGTGAATCCTCACATCCCCCCCACCTCTGGCCTGTACCCCAGTTCTGTATGCATAAATACATCTTTAAAAGAGTGATGATGATGATAAACAGTATAAAGACCCCCCAGCAAGTCCACCCAATCAGTATAAAATCTGGAAAACAAATCTGGAAAAGTCAGAACATGAGCTCTCTGTTAAATATCGTTATGAACGACGCTTTGGTCATCCAGTGCTCTCTCGTGTAACCGGGAACGGTGTTGTAGAGAATGCCTGTTCTCAGCAGATGCAGGGATGAGCTGTTGGGGGTGACGTGTTATGAGCACAGCTTAGTTTCAAACTGTTCAGGGAAGAAGAGAGAGCGTCTCTACACACACGTGCGTCTGGGAGAAGCCAGAGCGGACCCTACGGTGCAGGCCGGGAGGGTCTGTCACTGCCAGCAAGCGCACAGCCCTCACTTCAACTTCCAGAGGGTCCGACATGAAAATTTTTAACCAAAACCACCTTCATTTCAGTCTATAAAGTACAAACTGTTCTTTTCCCAGAATAATCACAATTAACTTACAAAGACAGCACTAGGCAGTATTTTCATTTCCCTTTCATGGGAAACAGCTTCCTTCACATAATGCAAATGTGTCAACCGTTAAAAAAAATTGTCTGTTTTCTTGTCATTCAGAGAGCAGACAGAGCTGGGCTGTAGTCACCCCAGCCCCTGGGGGCAGCGCCTCCCCCCAGGAGCCAGCCTGCTGTCAGCCTTCCCAGCAGCCGCCTCTGACCTGACTCTTCCTTCTGGTGCGACTGCAAACTCGGTGACTCCTTTCAGCACAGCCCTGACAGGCACCAAATGCCAGCGCACACCCTGGCTCCATTGCCACACACGCGCCTGATATGGTCAGGCCCGGGCCGCCCCGAGTGCACCCACTGGACAGCAGAGCCCTGGCTGAGGCCCACAGGCCCCGTGATGCCCGCCTCGGCCTCTACACTGTCTCTGCTCGGTCACACAGGGCCCCTCAGTGGCTGCCAAACAAGCCAGCTCGCTGTCGCCTCCTATGCAGACAGCTCACCACCCAGATAATGGCTTGCTCCTCCTCAACTTGCATCTTCGGGGAGGGCTCCCTGTGTGTCCCACCGCAGCTTACGATGCCCCACCAGAGCTGTCACTGCTGCCCAACATACTTCACTTCTAACTATTTATTGCCTCCAACACACCTAAGAATGCAAGGTCTCGGGCTCTCCATGGTGGCGCAACAGGTTAAAGCACCACATTCTGAAGCTCTCCAAAGCCACTGCAGCACAAGTTCGATCCCCCGCCAGGGAGCTGACCCCCAGGGCGTGGCAGACCTCTCCTGACCTGCCGCTGCTCCCCTCAGCAGTGGATTTCAGTACATCTGCCTGTTCTGCTCTCCACTCTGTCTCTGGTAAATCCTCTCACCCACCACAACTCTGGCCTGTACACAGTTCGGTAAGCATAAATAAATAAATCTTAAAAAAAAAAAAAAAAAGAATGCAAGGTCCCTCAAGAAATGATGCTTTGCTTTTTCTTCTGTGCTGTATCCACAACTTCTACACAAGTTGTGCTGTAAGCCACAACTTCACGTGTCATGTCCATTTCCTCCTCGCACCAAACCGTTAAGCATCACTGACAGTACAAGCACACACACAGTGTACCCCAAGTGGGAGTAAACTGCATCTGTGACTACTGGGGGGCAGTTCACGGGAGGCCCATGAGGTGCCCAACACACTGCCGGGCACAGTAAAGCTGCTGCGAGCGCCCGCTGCACAGAGAGGGAAGCCTGCTCGGAGGGCGGAGCGACCGGCCCGGCCATGGGGCTGCGGACACGGGGCCCTAAGTCTGACTCAAGAAGCTGCGCTCCGCCCCATGTCTCGGTGTTCGCGAGAGAGGCAGAAGCAGAGACCAGCTCTGGGAAGCCCTCGCCCAGGACTTAAGTCCCACCTCCTTGTCTGACCTCAGCAGTTCTGCTCTCAAGCCTCATTTTTCCTTTTCTATAAACTCAGGAAAGTTAATTTTCCCTCCCCCGACAGGTCAGTAAAATAAAAAGAGAGAGAAAAGCCAGATGCAGCAAAGGCGGGGTCCAAGGTTTCCAGGCTCCCAGGCCCGGCCTGGCCACAACTGGGGCGCCATGTCAAGTGGCTCCCACGGCCCTCGCCTGTGCGAGGCCGCCCCAACTTCACCAGGCTCCCTGGGCAGGAATGAGCATGCTGGGCGTCAGCTTTAAGTGGAAACACTGAGGGCAGAGACCCAAGTTTACCTCCCCTCCAACCTGTGCGTCAGGACCACACCTTTCCCCTGGGGAGACGGTAACCACAGGAGGGGTGAGTCCACAGTCCACTTGATGAAGGTGAATACAGAGAAGCTGGACTGTGGGCTAAGCACTGGGACCTCAGCACTGGCTTGGACCATTGTGGCACTGGACCAGAAAGTGTTCAGGACCTGAAGTTCTCACCGTCTTTACACCTGTCAAGTGGTGACCGGTCTACACGCCTCCCGCCTCTGCTTACAGCAGGAAGTGGCTGAAAGAAGACTGGTCACACACAAGGAAAACAACCAGTGAGGGTCAAACTATAGCTCATATGAAAGCACTTCGCATTCGAAGATCTGCAGCTCTGGCAGAGGCGCACCACCACCACAGAACCAAGAGTCCAGCACCCTGGGAAGCAAACTTGAAGCACCCAAGTATAGGGGGAAAACTTGTGTTCCCTTTGCACATGCTCCCCCCTCTTCCTCAGCATCATGTCTGTCTCTGGTGATGTTCTCTCACCCTCCAGGTCCCAGTTTCCTCCACCAGGAAGCCCTCTCTGAACCCCATGCCAGGTCAGGCTTCCAGTAGACTCCCCCATCCCAGCTCTGCAAACTCTGGCTCACCACTCTGGCAGGATAAGTCTCCTTATTCCATGCTTCCACAGATTTACAAAAAAAAAAGCTCATCTTTTGAGTTTCCTGTGTTCTGCAGGTCTCAGCTCGAGCGGCCTCCTCTAGACCATCTTCCTGACCCAGGCCCTGGGGTGAGGCAGGCCATAACTTCCACTCTATTCTGGGTTAATATAAACAGTTATGGGCCCTCCCAGGTGGCACAAGGAGTTAAGTGCAGCACTATGAAGATATCTGCAGCCCAGACTGCAACATGAGTTTGATCCCCAGCCAGGGAGCTGATCCACAGGGGCGCATTAGACCTGTGCTATCTCCCCAGAAGTATATTTCAGTCAGTCTGCCTGTTCTGCTTCCCACTCTATCTCTAGTGAATCCTCTCACCCACCACACCTCTTACTTGAACCCCAGTTCTTGTATGCATAAATAAAAATAAGTCTTAAAAAAAAAAAAAACAGGCCAGTCGTATGTCAGGTGTCTGTCAATAGTCAAACGGCCTGTCTGCCGAATAAATAAACGAACTGTGTGCATGTGAATGGATTAGTGAAAGGATGAATGTCTAGTTAAAATTTAACTCTAGATAAAGTTACCCTTTTGCCAGATTGCCTGATCCCAGACATAGCCCCGAGTCACGCCCCTAAGTGAGGCTATTTCCCGGGCAAACCGACATCCTAAACAGATGATATACAAGCACCTCTTGCCTCCTGGGACAAGAGAGAAACTAAGGCTACGGGTGGCATCTCGAAAGCAAAACACCCACACAAATTCTCCCTGATAACCCCGTCTCTGGTCCTCGCGGCCCTGGAAAGCCCCACCCAAATTACTATTGTCCCTTAATTTATAGGCTCAGCGAGACGTCAATCTCTACGCGCTCTTTACTCTTATTGGCTGATATTCCCAACTCGGGCGCAGGCACCCTACCCCGCCCCCTACTCACGCCCGACCTCACTATTGGGCTACCCAAATGCCCCTCTCTGAGGAACCCTTCCTATTGGCTGCAGAACTTGACCGGTTCGGACCTTGATTGGTCTGAAACAGGGTCCCCTGAGCAACCACCTGAGAGGGTTTGGAAGGAGGAAAGGTTGGAGGGACGTAGGGTCAGACTCACGCTGAGCCGGCGGGAGGCAGATATAGTTCTTGAAGAACTCGCTGCGACGGGCGGCTTCCTTAATACGGTTGGCAAGAGGCTTGCTGACCTGCCGGATGCCCAGGTATAACAGCTTCGCCATAGGAAACGCGCCCACCACCATCTTGGCGGTCGCACGGGGGCACGCGCAACCTTGCTGACTGGGCGGGGCGCCTCCGAAGCTCCCTCCTCCCCCGAACGCCCGTCGCCGTGCGTGAGTGCGTGCGTGCGTGCGTTCGTACGTACGTGCGTCCGCTGGAGGTGGGGGGACTGCCGGGGCGCTCCTGACGTCACCACGTCGACGCGGGCGCCTGGTCGTCGGTTTTCTGAATATGCAAATAGTGGCGGAAGTGAGGCGGTGAGAGGTCGGTGCCGTTAAACGTCTGCTGGGGAACGGTGAATGAATCCCCACGGCCGCCGCGCTGATGTCACTGGCCACTTCGTGACGTCACACACCTAGGCGGCTTCTCCACCCTTGAGGCTCTTAATTAGGCCTAATTAGGGCAAATAAATCCCCAATACACATCCCCGGCTCGTTACAGCTCTCACTGGGAGGCAGTTGGCTTCACAGCGAGACCTAGTTAGGGTCCCAACTCTGTCTTTTACTTGCTGTGTGATATTAGACAAGTGACTTAACCTCTCTGGTCACCAATATTCTCACCTCCGAATGGGAATCATAACAGTACCTACTACATTGGGATGTTGTGAGGCTCACATTTGAGTCTTGAATGTGAAAAGTGAGTGAACCTTGGTAAGTGCTGAGAATGATGCCCGTCACATAGTAAACACTCAATAAGCAGCCCGTTATTGCATACAGTATTCACACGTTTATTGCTAACTCCAACATGAGGGTGCATGTCCCCTCCAAAAGCAGCTAATCCCAAGTAAATGACAAATTGAGGCTCAGAGGGGGGACGGGCTGGCACAACGTCCCTCAGCCAGCAGACTGTCAGCCCAGCATCTTGCCTAATGAAATTATACCCGTTCTCAAGCAGCCCATTTCCTCCACTGGGGGGCGACGGTCCCCAGGGAGCTGGTTTGGGAAGGAGTTTAAGGACACTTCCCAGACTGTCCTCTACTCAGCAGGGAGCAAAATCATATAAACAAAGTCCGGAAAGGGTTGAGAGAAATTCCTGGGTGGTGGAGTGCTGGTGGGGAGAGAGGGAAAAGAGACAACAGAGCAGAGGAGTGGTGTAGAGGAAGAAACAGCTTCAGGGTGCAGTCTGGGGGCCCAAGGCTTTCCTCCCACATCCTCTCTGAGTATCCTCTCTCAAGTCCTGGGTGCAGATGGACCTCCGTCTCTCCATGTAATAATAATGGTACTGGAATGCTTGAACCTAGATACTCTACAAGACTAAAGATGCCAAGACTCCATAACAACCCTTTCCACTGCAGCACAAGTTTGATGCCCCGCCAGGGAGCTGACCCACATGGCGCTGCAGACCTCTCTGACCCGCCTGCTGCTCCCCTCAGCAGTGTATTTCGGTTAATCTGCCTGTTTTGCTTCCCACTCTGTCTCTGGTGAATCCTCTCACCACCCCCACCTCTTGTTAAGAGGAAAGGATGTCCTAAAGGCCTATACCCCAGTTCATGAATGCATAAATAAGTCAATCTTAAAACAAAAACAAACAAACAAAAAACACCCTTCCCAGCATCCCTTTGGGACTGAAGATGTAAGAGAAGAAAGAGCCTGGTGCCTTTCCTGATCCGTCATTTCCTGATCTCCCACATTACAGGCTGACCAAGGGTGGAAAGGATTCATCCAGAATCCCAAGGTAATCAGGATGGCGTCAAGGCTAAGATTTCATGAATCAAAGCTGGACTCTTCTCCTAATCCTGGGGTCGTTAGCCTGGAGGGGAGCTGCTGAGTTCCCCTATGATGGGTTTAACAGACTTCAATCTCGTACATGACTTTTCTGTGTAACCACTATTGTTTCTTCAGCTCCTCGGACAGTGCCTGGAACACAGTAGGCACTCAGTAAATGTTTACTGATGGGATGGGAATGAACCTCAGTGGAGGGGTAGAGTGCAGGCTTTGCCCTGATTCTCCGAGGGGCTCATTCAAAAAGACCGGCTCCCCACCCCTCCATCCCTGTAGCTATATGGTGGTGAGACAGGGTAGGGGGATCACTAGGCCCTCTAGCTCTCAGGTGTCCCTCTTAATCTTCCCCCAACACCAAAACCCAACTTTCTGTATCTCAATCACCACACCCCCATCCTGCAAAACTATTGAGTCCATTGAATTCTTCTTTTGTTCTTACTCCCCTCTCCCTCCTCTTCCTTTTTCTGTAGGGTTTCCAGGAAACTCTTCTGGGAACTTTGGGGGCAAGGATGTGTGTGTGTGTGTGTGTGTGTGTTGGGATGGGGGAGATCCGGTATATATATGTGTGTGTTAGGGGGACCCTCATTAACAAAGCTTGGAGCCTGTTAGTCATCCCAGGGAGGAAATGAGGGAGGTGGCCTACCAGGAATGAGGTCTGTCCAGACTGGCACTTCCCCCGCTTTCCAGCCTGCTTATGGAAAGATGGTCCTTCCTGATGACCCCTGAGGGTCAGGGGAGGGAGGGGGGACTCCATATGCCAGGGCAAGCTGCCCTGGCCACGTGGGTGTGGGAACGGAGGCAGACACGGGAAGGAAGAGGGAGCCCAGGATGGCCCCAGTGCTGACTCACGGGCCATGTGACCCCGACCTCATCCCTTGGCCTCTCTGGTGACCCCCTGGAATAGGGCCTGGGATCATTCCCAAGGTCCTTCCAGTTTGGGCCCCTGGTCACCCTTTTCCCAGGATGGGCAAGGGGCTCATGTTACACAATGCCACAGGCCCTTGTGCTTCCTCCATCATAATGCCCTTCCAAATAAATCCCCAAACTGCCCACATCTCTTGGTCGCTACACCAGCACCACCCAGGTCCAGCTGCCTGCCTCTCCAACCTGGACCACCACAGTGGCTTCCTCACTGGGCTCCCAACTTCTGCTCCTATTCCCCATGTTCTGGTCCCCACTCAGCAGCCATCACTCAGGGTTCATTAAGCCAAATCACATCCCTCTGCTAAGAACCCCCCCAACTCCCATTTATCTCAATGCTCAAGGCAGCAAGTCCTGTCCTATTTACACAGCCCTGCCCCCCTGCCCCCCCAGGCACTCTCCCACCAGGGCCTTAGCACTTGCTGTTCCTTCTGCCTCTTTCCCCTGCCCCCCACACCCACAGCACCGATCCCCTCACCTCCTCCAGGTCTTCGCTCAAACGCCACCTTCTCAGTAAGCACCCCCCCACCTTATCTAGAGCAGCCTCCATGTCACTCTCTGTCCCCTTCTTTGGCTTTATTTTTCTGATGCATCCATGTAGTATGGATTACACTACATTTTGTATTTACTCACTGAAAGGCCCCGGAGGGTCGGGCCTGAGATGACTTAGTCACAACACTTGTGTTTTTAGTTGATCCCCAGCGCTGGACATCAGGGTCTGGGAGAGAGCAGGTACAAATCAACAGCTGGTGAATGAAGGGGTGAATGAATGAATGGGGGACCCTCCTCGTCCTGAGCCCCCCCACCCCAGCCTGCCCTGATCACTGCTCTCCAGCCAGTCTGCCCTTCACTGGACGCTGACTCTGTCCCTCCCTCTGTTCTACCCTGGACAATGCTGTTTATCGAAAATTCAGAATTGCTCTCTTGTGCTCTCTCACCCCTGTACAGCCAGGGGCTTCCCAAGGGCTTCACACCACACTGAATTTCTCCTTCCACCTTCCTCTCGAACCAGATTTTCACCTCCTTACTGAAAATAAACTTTTTTCCTTCTTGTCGACACCTTGGAAATGAAGCGACTTCGTTTGCTGGTCGCCTCCACCAGGAAGCCCTCCCTGCCCCCCAGGCTGTGTCGGATGCCCTCCCGGGCTCCCCCAGGGCTCCCCCAGCTCCCAGGCTCCCCTGTTAGAGCCCTGCTCGTTGCTGGGTCATCACCTTCGGTAGGTGTCTAGCGCCTTCTCCGCCAGTGGGGTCGGGGCCCGTGAGGCCAGGGCCGTCGTGTGTCCCATGGTGTCACTGCCGCCACCCAGCATGGGACCCGTGTCACGTCAGCCGGACTGCTGGGGGCCCCGGCCCAGTGAGAACACCGCCCTCACGGTTGGTTTCCCTGTGTATATTCTTGTGAATATTAACATGGTCTTAATTGCACGTAACTTGCACACACCGGACCAGCCGTGGAGGGGAGGCGTGGGGGTTCACTGTGCGGGGGGCAGCATCTTCAGCTGCACCTGGTCCCCCTGGGGCGGACGGGCCGCCGCCGTGGCCTTGGCCGCGCTGTTCCTTTTGGAAGTCAGTGGGGTCTCGAGGGTGAGGGAGGCGCTGGCCATCTCCTGTGGCTTGTCGCTGGCCAGGAAGTGCAGGAGGCTGTGCAGGGCCTTGGCCACGTCTCCGCGGGCGCCCTCGTTGACGAGGCAGTAGAGGATGGGATCCGCCACGCAGTTGAGGCTGGTGAAGGCCAGCGAGCTGTGGTACGCCGAGAAGACCCGCTCCTCGAAGCCACAGTCCCAGGGGCGGCCCAGGTAGACGGCGCTGCGGGAGAGCAGCAGCACGTGGTAGGGCGCGAAGCACACCAGCACGATGGCGATGAGGCTGAGGGCCAGCCGCTTGATCTTGGCCTTCTCCTGGCGCTCGGTGGACACGCTGCCGCGCACGGCCCGCAGGATGCCGCAGTAGGACAGCAGCATCAGGGCCCAGGGGAAGAGGAAGCCCACGAAGACCCGGTAGAGGTTCATCCAGGCCACCCAGCCCTCCATGGGGAACTTCTCGAAGCAGAAGGTGTGGTTGTAGCGGTCCCGGAACAGCTCGTCGTGGAACAGGGGAGCCGAGTTAGCGCCCAGCTCCGTCGCCCAGACCACGGAGCTCACGGCCACGGCCGTCTTGACGCGGCGCAGGCGGGCGAAGCGCAGCGGGTGGGCCACGGCCAGGTAGCGGTCCACCGAGATGCAGCACAGGAAGGCGATGCTGATGTAGATGTTCGTGTAGAAGATGAAGCCGAAGAGCTTGCAGGAGCCGGGGCCGTGGATCCAGTTGTCGTGGTGCAGGAAGTAATCCACCCACAGAGGCAGCGTGCAGATGTACAGCAGGTCGGCGATGCTCAGGTTCATGAGGTACACGCCCAGCTCGTTGCGCTGCCGCACCTGGCGGTAGGCAGCCCACAGGGCCAGGCAGTTGGTGGGCAGCCCCACGCCAATGACGACGATATAGAGCGAGGGCGGGAAGAGGTGGTCCACACGGGAGTCCACATGGCAGCCCTCCCACGTGCGGTTGCCCATCCTCGGCACCCTGGCTGCGGAGGTGCTTCCCCTGGCCCGCCGGGGCTGTGGGGCCACAGGGGCGGGAGGCCATCGGGCCCCTGAGCTCCCCAGAGAGGGGGCTCAGGGGAACATGGTGGGAGGCAGTCCACAGTGCAGAGATGAGACTGACCTTGGAGCTGGGAGGGAAGGGCAGAGGTCCAGAGGGGAGAGCTGGAGGAGGAATAAAGTTACCACAGGGGACGGTTGGGGATGGTGGGATTAACAAAGACCTTTGTCAAGGGGGTTTTTTATGGGCCTGATCAGATTGTAAATGAGAGAGCACTGGATAACACAAAAGTTGGCCAGAAATTGGCTGTGGAGAGCCTTAGAGAGGAGAGGAAAGAGGCAGAGGTTTTGGTAGAGGGTGTAGGAAGTAAGAGTGGTTGTGCTGACATAATGGTGGGATGGAATGTGCTAGAAGAAGGGAAAGATGTGGGAGGGACAGCCCTCTATGTCAATCTATGGGCTGAGGTGGTAGGGACTACAGTTAGGGAGTGTTAAAAATACCAGGTAATGGGGTGGGGTGGAATGCTGGCCATTTCGCTGGACCCCAGCAAGAACTAAGGACATAAGGAAGGTAGCCCAGAGGAGACTGGCTAACAGGAGGGCTGTTGGGGGCGGGGGACGAGGAAGGGCTTGTCTGGGAAATTCAGGAAAAGTTTTTAAGTAACAGGAAGGAGGTGGGTAAGAACTGGATCAGAGAAGTGTTAAGGATGGAGGGGGTAGCTTGAATAAGGCGAAGAGGAGTTTGAAGGGTCAGCAGAAGGACTCTGACTTTGTCCTGTGGGGGACTGAGCAGTTGAGGTGAGGTAAGCCCCACCTCACTGCACATTTCAAAGCTGACTTTGCAGGGCCTGTGGGGAGAGAGAACCTCAGTGAGGGGAGCCACAGAGCCTCCTCCCTACACCCCTATCCACAATCCCTGTGATTGCAGAAGGCTGACACCCCAGACCCATGCTAAGCAACAGATCTCTGCAAACACAAATTTGAGGTGCCAGATATATTTCCCCCACCAGGAGATGTTAAAGCAAAGACCCTACCTGAATTTTAGAACTTTCTCCCAGAAACCATGTAAAACTGATACAAAGTATTGTGCCATGCTACAGAAAAGGCTGGACGCCTCATTTCACAGACAGGGCTCAGCCAGGTTGAGTTACGCCCCTCAGTGACACCCAGCTAGCTAGGGAAGTGCAGCTAGATAGCACTGGGCTGGGACCAGCCTCCCATCGTTCCAAACTCAGGGGGCCCCACTCTAGATGGCAATGACTGCTGCAGAGCTTGCGTGTTACTAAAACAGCAGAGCCTGTTCTCGGCGCTTTATGAGTAGTCATTTATTAGCTGTTCGAAAACTTCATAATGAATGACTGTTATCCTCCCTACTGGACAAACTGAGGCACGAGCGGGTTCAGAGACCTGTCCAAGGTCCTGATGACGGGAGAGGGGAAATCTCCACTCTCACCCCCTTTCTCCAGTTTCTTCACCCTCCAGCTCCAGTTTCCACCCAAGAGTAACTGCAAAAAGGGGTCTAGGCTGATGGGGTGAGAGTCTGGGAACCACGACTGAGGAGGCTGAGGGAAAGGATGAGCGGAGGGGCTGCATCAGGGTCTGCCTCAGGGTGGGGGGAGGAAGGGGGAGCCCTAGAGACAGTGCCTGCCCTGGGAACCTGTCACTCCCCTCCTCTTCCCATACCTCTGACTTTTCCAGGGAGAGACGGGCTTGGCACCCCTCACCGGTGCTGGGCAGACGTGCAAGCGTGGGGCAAAGGACTGCCCTGGCAAAGCCCACACACAGGCAGCCCCAAGGCAGCCATGCCTTGCACCGGCACTTCAGAAGCCATCCCAAGGGTTTGCACACATTTAGTTTTTAGGCTCTGGAAATTTAAAATGAGACTTTAACTGGAAACCCCAGCTAAAAGAGTAGAAAGGAAAGGTTCTCTGTGCTCTCGGTGAAATGAAATGGGGGCACCTCCACCCAGAGAGGGTAAGGAGGAGCCCGAAGCCGAAGCCACACAGCAGGTCCATGGGACCCTCCCGAGTGCCCAGCCATTTTCTATGGGAAAGTCCTCCTGTCCCTGCCTCCACCATAAATCCTGCATCCACACAGCTCTCCCCAAGCCCCGCCACTGCGCTCCACTCACTTCCCACACGGTGGCCAGGAAGGGCTTTCTAGCATGGAAATCAGCTCTTGTTACCTTTCTGCTTGAAGAGCTCCAAGGCTTCCCAGGAAACTTGGGGCCCATCCCACGCCCAGGTGCCAAGGGGCTGCCAGGGATCCTGGCCAGCCCAGCTCATCTGCCTCAGCAGGCTCAGGCTAGGGCTGTCTTTCCAGTCTCAGAACTTATGTCCTTAAGGGGCTCCCTGGTGGTGCAAGAGTTAAGTCTCAGCACCATGAAGCTATGTACCCCACTTCATGGGGAGGTGACCCACATGGCGCAGCAGCCCTCTTCTGACCCTCCTGCTACTCCCCTCAGGAGTGTATTTCAGTAGATCCTCCTGTTCTTTTTCTTTTTTTTTTTTTTTAAGATTTATTTACTTATGCATACAGAACTGGGGTTCAGGCCAGAGGTGCAGGGTGGTGAGAGGATTCACCAGAGGCAGAGTGGGGAGTAGAACAGGCGGATCCATGGAACACACTGCTGAGGGGAGCAGCGGGGAGACAGAAGAGCTCTGCTGTGCCTTGTGGATCCTGCAGATCACCTCCCTGGCAGGGATCTAACTCTCCCTGAAGCAGCTGCAGCTGTGGCTATATTCACTATATTCCTAGTGCGTAGAGCTGTGCTTAACCCGTTACGCCACCAGGGAGGTCCCTGGATTCTGCTATTGCTCAAGTTCATCCATCCATCCTTCTGTTCTGTGCCCCACTCTGTCTGGTGAATCCTCTCACCTCCCCCCTACATTTCGACACCCCAGCTCTTATATGCATAAATAAATAAAATGAACAAATCTTAAAGCAAACGAACAAAAGACTTATGCCCTTAAAGTAACCTCTACCTGTCAGGATCAGCTCCCCTTCACCTCCTGGGGAGGACCCCCCCAGAGTCCTGCCTCCCCCTCCTAACATCGCTTTATATCCTGTCCATTTGTGTCTGTCTGTCTGCCCAGAATGAGCACTCCAGGAAAACCAAGTATTGTACCAAAAAACGAACAAAAGAGTAAGAAATAAATTTAAAAAACAAAACAAAACAACCAGAGCGCTCCTGAAATGGGCTGAATGCTGTGTCCCCAGCACCTGGGACATGTCCAGCATACAGCAGGCCCCCAATAAACGACTGCAGACTTGGAAACACATAGCTGTCGGTAGGCTCCCTCTCCTCTTGAGGTGGCACCACCCCCACTTCAAGTTCAAACAAGTCCCAGTGGGATCCCAGGAAAAGAGGTGGGGAGGCAAAAAGCGAAGAAAAGGGCAGGATCTCTCCCTACAGAATTGACTCTGAAAGGTCAATTCTTAGTAAGTCCCATCCCCTGCGGGGTCCTGGGCAACCCACTCGCAGACAGAACCCCAGATCCTGGGGAACTGGGGGGAGGAAGCTGGCTTCCCGGAACAGTGGGATCCAATTCCTCCCTGTGGAACTGAAACCCCCCCCCCCGCGCCCCCAGACCCAGGCACCCCAAGCCCTCTCACACCTTCCCCTGACGCCAGCTTCCCCTCTCTGCCCTCCTCTTCTCTCCTTCCTGAGATACAGGAATTACTTCCTCAGTTTCCCCTTCTGTATAAAGAGAGGGGAGTGGACACAGCATTGATACTAGTCACACCAAGGATGTGAAAATGCTTGGTGGAACATGAAATCACCCATAAGACATGCAGAATTTGAACAGTTATTATTATTCCATAAGCACTGGAGAGCTAAGGCAGGAAATGAAACAGTTTGTCAACCCATGTTACTGCAATAAACATTTTAAAGAGAGAGAGAGGGGAACCCATCCCTAACGGGAGCTGGGAATGAGAAGCCTGTGCCCACCCTGGAGCCCAGCCCAGGACCAAGGACCGAACTTATTTCTGGCAGCCAGAGGAAACGGCCTCAAGGCCAGTTTCCTGGAGGGGAACCAGTCGGTACTCACCACTCCCTCAGCCTCAATTCACCTGGTGGGGGGCGGGGTGTCTGAGCATGGGGGAGGAGTACTCAAGCGCCCAGACTTCTCCTACACTGAGCTCTGCTCACCATCCAACCCCAAAAGACAGCAGGAATGCCAGGCTGTCAAGATTCCACAGTGCAACAGGCCTATGGTATGAGCAATGTTGGGGGTACAACCCCCTCCTGGTACAGATGGGGAAACCAACGGAGGCCTGGAGAGACAAGGCAGTTGCGTAAGTCACATGAGGGGTCAAGACTGGGCAGATGTCCCACTCATTTATTTTTGCAACCACATGGTGTCCCCTCCCTGAATCTCTCTCTCCTGCCTCCCTGCAGCCCCCTTTAAGAATATGCTGAAGCATATTCTCCCCATAAAAAAGCAAGTGACCATGGCGTTCGCCTGCCCTCGACCACCTGACCCCCTTGTCCACTTCTCAACCCTATCCAAGACCCTTATTCGGGCTTTGTTGGGGAGTGAACTCCTAAATCTCACAATCTCCACAAGAAGTACCCCCTGTCTCCCCGACCCCTCTCTTTGGTCCTGCTGGCTCCTCCCAGAGGGCCAGGGAAGAGAGAGAACCCCCAGTTCAGCTGTGGGGGGAGGGACGCCAGGAAGGATGAAGGGATCCTGGCACCCACCCTAGGCTTCAGCTGCTCTGACCAGGCTTGTCGCTGGCCCCACCGGCCACCCTTAAATCCCAGGCTAAAGGATTTGGGGAGTTGAGAGGACAAGAGGGAGACCTCTTAGCCACCTACACTCCCCACCACCTCGGCTCACTCACCAGCTCGGTCCTGGAAGCCATGGGGCAGCCTCTCTCCTGCACTCCCCTGCTCCGTGGGCTCCCGCTCGCTCCCCCTCCTCCCAGGCAGCCCCGGGACCGGTCAGCGCCAGTCTGCTCATTAGGGGACGAAATGTGATCACGCCTCGCTCCCCACCTGGTGCCTGGCAGGCAGCAGCGGAAGCCAGGGCAGTCAGGCCACCCTGGCCACTGCCATCACCCCACTGGGCCTCAGTTTCCCCTTTTCTACAGAAAGGGTCCTCATCGCCCTGCCACAGCCCCCACCACACCACCGGAAGGGTCCCCGGGTTCCTCCAGTTCTACCCTCGGCCTCTGCCTCGGCCCTTCTGGGTGGCAATGTCCAGCTCCGCACGCTGTTCTATTATTGTAACAGGCCGGCAGCCTTTCTTCCTATTATTATCATCATCGCGCTCCCCTGCTCTTCGCCTTCTAAGTTTCCAATATCCTAGGAGTCTCACATTCCCAAATTCTAAAGTTCTATTGTTAGAAGGCTCTATGATGTTTTTTTAAAGCATTCTGCAACTTTCTTAATCTATTATTAAACTGCCACTGATTATTCTTTTTGGCCTGGCAAACAGGAATACGTATCTGCCTTTTCTTTTTTAAAGAAATGGGGACATCCTCTATACATGGTGAACCCCACTTCCCCTTGTCCCCTCTTGCCTATTCTGTTTATCTTTGACATTCCAGCAGCCTGAAGTTATAGGATTGTACGATTGCCCTGGCATTCTCAGATCTCTTAGCTGCCACCCCACCTGGCCCCTAACTTCTCACACCTGGGCCCTGGCCCCTCCCGGCCAGTGCCCAGCAAGGCTGGCCTCCTCCCTCCCTGCTCGCTCCCACCAGCTGAGTTATTATTTGTCTAGACACAAATGAAATTATAGGCCTTGTCCCAGGGGAGCAGTGGGCTTCATGGGGGGGGGGGGCTGGGTACATCCCGGCCCCCCACCCCCTCATCCCTCTGAAATTTCACCTCTTCCACAAACCAACTCGTGTCCCCTCTGCCTCTCCACCACCATGGATTTTAGAAATAT